AACTAGCATCAGGAGAAAACCTATCAGATAACTGACTTTTGAATAAAGAGAGAGAGAGAGAGAGAGAGATATCACATCAACACAACACAAGCCCACTTCACTGCACAGTATCAGGAATAGAAGCCAAAGCTAAAGAGTTTATTTTTCATGTGAAATATCTGAAGAACTCAAGTGTTTTTTATACACAAACCTCAAAACCTTTTTTCTACAAAGTACTATGAATAAGTCATTAAAGAAACATTTGATCAAAAAAAAAAAAGAAGTCATTAAAGAAACATTTCCAGGGGTGGAGATGGTTAATGGGTTGCAAATGACAAAGGGCCACTAATCAAAGGTTGGTTTAGCAGTATGAAAAAACTTTATTAAACTAATCATGATTGATTAGTATGGAATAAGTGGGATTAGGAATATAATTAGATTTAAAAATAGTCACTTTATCAAACTAATCATGATTAAGATTGTTCCTTGTGCGGTTACTTACGTGTAAAGGCTAAAAACACTCAGAAAGCACACAGCTTTGGGTTTTAACTGGAGGTCCTCATATGCTTTTAAGTCAGGGAATAAGTTACGATCAGGAGATTTAGAAAATTAAGGGGGAGTCACTAATAGCATAAACGCATATCCATTTTCACAAGCCTAACATTTCAAATAAAAGTTTAAAAATACACCTCATGTTTCATTCATACATCTTTGACTGATAGATACCAAATAATTAGACACAACAACAGATGTTCCTCTAACGCACTAGTAAACAAAAGGAATGAACTAGTGCCCAACTTTATCAGCATAATCCAAATAGCTTTGCCTTCTTGTTGTAGTAAACCAAACAAACTGCTACTAGAAACAACAGACTCAAAGGCGCACGCAGAGTGGTGCAGTATGTGACGAAAAGAAGCATAGTAGAAAGGACCAAACTACAAAACAGCCGTTGGAACTACCACCTTTTCAGAATATCTAGCAAGATAAAGCGTTGAAGGGTATTGCAAAAGCATTATAACCAGAATCAAAACCCATATGCCTGGTAAACGGTGAAGCTCATGCCCTGCGAAAGCCGCAAGCCAATGTCCAACCAAAACACCAAACACAAAACAAAACCTTAGACCTTCACATCCCATTTGGGACCATGCTGCGAGCCAAGTAATCTCCATAGAGGGTTTTCTGAGGTTACATTGAAGAAGAGGAAGTAATGATAAGCTCAGAAGAGCACAAAAGGACAGCCTTCAAGAATAATCGTTGAAATAAGCAGGAGGCACAAGTGTAAGCCATGTGAAGAGTGAATTTACGATACTAAGCAGCTCAAAAGGCGTTGGCTCGGTGAAGCCAATGTTTGCGGAAGGAGTAAATGGCGTAACCCGCGAGAGACAGAGGGCAATAAGCCAAGGCAAGAAGACCCATGTCCAGCTGTTGAAGCTTAAAGTTACGATCTTTATTGCAGCTAGAGTCAAAATTGATAGTAAAGAGTTACATCCAAGGGCTTGACTTATAGCTGACGAACTGTATCAACCAGTGAAGTTAACGAGATGGAATTTGAGAACATTGTCTATTGGGCTACTCTGTTAAATAGTCTAAAGCCTTTTAAGAATAATAATAATGGGCTCTGACAAGTCATGTGATATGTGGAGGCAACATTGTTAAATTGAGGAAGGTTCTATTGTTTAGTTGGCTCGTCCAATTGTGTTGATTTAACGCCGGCGGGGTCTTTTCGTGGAAATCGCCCATGTGTAGACTTTATGATATGCCTATTGAATAGTTTATATTAATGAATTTGTTTTGAATTGCACATCAACGGGAATCACTTTAACGGTTTAACCACTCTTCCAGTTCCAATCATAACTAGAGTTTGAAAATCTAGCACTCTTAGAGCACGTGCATCGCGCAGTTCTACAAAAAACGCTTAAAACTTCTTTTTTCTTTTTTTTTTTTTTCCAGATTTAAAAAAAAATAAATTTAAAAGTAACCAATCGCGGGCCGTCATGTGTCGTGGGGCCTGTAGAATCGGCCAAGCACTCACGAGAATCAGGCGCTTATATGAGCAACAAAAGCGACGACTTCTTGTTTTAAGTGGATCCCCCCCACATTTTTCCTAAGCGCTTCCTTCTTATGTCGCGATACACATGCTCTTAAGTCTTAGAGCACCTCCATCAAAGATTTAGATTGGGGTTTACACGTTTTTCAACATAAAAAATATTAAACTAATCAAACCTTATGATACCCTCTCTCTTAAAGCGCTCTCTAGTGAACCCCTCTCTCCTAGAGTTCATCACTGTAGCGCGGATCCACGACACGCGGCGACCCGAGATTGGTCTATTTTTTTTTTTAAATCAGAAAAGAAAAAGAAAAAATTTAATAATAAAAAAAAAAGAAATGATGAACCCCAAGAGAGGGTTCATTGATGGGGATGCCCTTAACTAATTTATCGCTTGTTGTGTTTTCTACCTTAGAGCATGCAAAAGCTTAAAAGAACTTCCTCTTCTTCACTTTTACATTAGAAAATGCTAACTATTCATTTTTAGCTTTCTTCATCTATCAAATTCTTTTGGCTTCATTGAAAAATAGTGTTAAACGCCAGGTTGGCACGCCATTATGATCACTTCTTAACTATCCATTTTTTTAATCTCATACTTGAAATGCTAATGCATACACTGCATTATTTTTTTTTTAATTTTTTTATTTACATTGCATTATTCAGATATAAGTGCTTCATAGTCTGCATGAAATCGAGGTAAACAACTAATTTTAGTGTACTAAATAGTGGTGTCACTCTGTCCTTACAAATTTTAAAATACGAAATAATTTTTACGTCGTGTCAAGATGTGACAAGAAGGCAAACTTTGTGTTAATTAATTAATATGGCAAATAAAATAAATAACAAATAAATAAACAAAGGCTAGCAGACCGAACATTTAATGACTCTTCTATAACAAATAATTTAAAATGACACAACCAATAGCTAAAGACTGAAAAATGTACTACTACCTCTTTTTAATATAGTTATCTTTTTAGAGTTTAATACAAATTAAAATATATTTCATTTCGCATATTCTTCAAATAAAATACTACTCCCTTTGTTCCTAAAAGATCTATATTCTAGTTTTTTTACACTTTTTAATAAAACACAATAAATTTAAATAGTTTTTTTATTTATCTTCTTTCTATAATTTTAAACCAATCAAAAATCAATTAGTGCAATTAAGTTTTTTGAAGTTTACAATTATTTAATAAAACATACATTGAAAATGTAATAAAATAGATCTTTTAGAAACAAATTTTTTTTCTAGAATATGTATCTTTAAGGAACGGAGGGAGTATTATATATACATTTAATCACATTTCAACTAATTAAAAAAATAAAATATTAAATTAATTAATTTTACGTTAAAATTATAAAATAACACTTATTTTAAAATTAAAATTTTACTGTACAATAAGATATAAATTAAAACAGAATGAATATTTTATTACAGTTAATGTGGTGTTACTCTGTCACTAACTAAAAAGTTTGACAAATTTTAAAATACTAATTAAGTTTTACATCGTGTCAAAACGTGCATTCTCATGCACAGATTACGGATCATTTAATAATTGTGATGATACAACAGACTTTGTGTTAATTAATTAAGAATATCATAAAATAAAATACTTCACAAATACTATTAGCATCATTGACTCTTTGATAACAAAGACTCGTAAATGACTAACCAAAAGATTAGAAAAAGTATATCTCTTAGTTATAGTGTCAAAATGAAATAGCTTGTTCACCTCAGCTCATAGTATGCTCAGATTTTACATGAGCTATTTTAACTTCAGCTCATTTATTATATGAATTTTAATATGTAAACTCATATTTAGATCATCAAGATCATGAATTAAATGAACCATCTCACTATCTATTAGTAAAAAATAAAAATAATTAGAAAACTAAAATAAAAGAATTCCATAATATAAATTCAAATTTATATATTATAAATAATAAATCTAAAACATTAATATTAAATAACTAAATAAAGCCAACACTGAAAAATCAATTAAACTAAAGATAAATAACGATCCAAAAATATATTTCGCTTGAGAATCTTCATATGATTTCAGTGTCTTCATATGTTCAAATTATAAAATGAAAAATAAAAGATTAATGAATATCTCAAGTTATAACAACGTGTACACAAATAATTTTAAATATATATGTATATATATATATATATATATATATATATATATATTACTAAGCTCATGAGTTAGTTCATCTTCATTAAAACTCTATCATTAAACTCATGATCTAAAATAAGTTTGATCATTAAGCTCATTTATTAAATGAGACTAAAAAGTAGAACATGTATTCAACAAACTCATGACTTATAATTCCTTTTGACACCTTAAATTTGATAAATGATTTACTATATGTTATTTGTTTTTTTTTAAATGATGATATAACGTAGTTAGAAATGTGATATGATTCTTACTTTATTATAACATTTACAATTTCATTTATAAAGTTTATAATTTAGTAAGTTTTTTTGAATATTAGAATAACTTATGTATATTATCATTACACTTTAGTTATTATTTTAGTTTTGTGCACGTAGATTAAAACAATTTAATTTTATATATACTTTTAGATAAAAATATGATTGCTTATACACCTAAACACGTTTTAACTAATAAAAATAAAATAAAATATAAAATTATTAAATTTTGTATTGAAATTATATAACCACAGTTATTTTGAAACGAAATTTACTCTAACAAGGACACCTAAACTGATACGGATAGAATACTTGGTTTCTCTCTCCATCTTGTCTATTAGAGTATAAGATACTTAATAGAAAAAATTGAAATTACAGAAATACTATCCAATAAGGTTAGCTGGATTTCAATTTGCCAGACTAAAAACCAAGAAAAACTGGATTTTCCAGTTCTATAATCGAACCTTGAAAATAGGAGAAGACAAATACACAAACACACCACCCCAAAGAGATCGTTTTTTTTTTGTAGTAGCCATCATGAGTTCTGTCAGTGTATTTCATGAGAAGGAAATCAACGGAAAACCATATCACATATTCAGTTTATTACCTCAAACAGACAACTCTTCTTCATCTTCCTCCCCCTCCTTGTTCGGCGAGGAAGCCATTGATTCGGGTGGCGAGTCTGGCGACGACGATCTCTCTCTTCAAACTCGTTTCTTCTGTCCTAAGTTACGTTTCGAAAAAGTTGAATCAAAACGCGCGGTGTCTAATTGCAAACACGCCCCAGCCATAACTTCCCAACACTTCAACAAAGAAACCATTGAGCAACAAGTCCAAATCGTGCTTGATATGGCCAGCTTTCGAAAAGAAAATTATCTCCGGCATATCTGTAAGCATCCTGTACTTCCAATCTTTTGGTGCAACAGTGAAAAGCCTTCTGCTCACTTTAAATGCGGCGCATGCGAAATGTCAGAGGTTGGCAGTGGCTATTACTTGTGTGAAACATGTCAAAGAGTTTACCACAAAGAATGTGTGGAGGCTCCACTCTTTATCAAACATCATCCTTCCTATCCCTATTTTTCTCTCCAACTTTGTTCTCATTCTTCCATTTATTCACAGAGTTGCAACTTTTGTGAAACCCCATTAAATGGATTAATGGTTTACAAATGTACTACCTACCCCTACGTAATTCATACGGTTTGTGCGTTGAAGCCAATACCCATTATTATAGACCACTTTAAAAGGCATCCCCATACACTCACCTTTTTCCCCAAACAAGCTTTCTTACCCTGCAATATTTGTGGTATGCTCAAAGCATTTAATCCCACCTACATCTGCGCTCGATGTGTTTTCGTTGTCCATCAAGATTGTATCTACTTCCCCTATGTCATACGAATATGTCGTCACGACCACCGTATCTCTTTCACCTATTCTCTTCCACCCGGAATGTTTTCTTGCGGAGTCTGTCGTCGCTATGTTAACAATAGTTGTGGGGCCTACTCTTGCAACAAGTGTGATGGAACTTATTTTCATTCAAGATGTGCTTTGCGGAGAGATTTGTGGGATGGGGAAGAACTTGAAGGAATACCCGAAGAAATTGAGATAGTTGAAGATCCATTCAAGACGGTAGCTGATGGAGAAATAATTCACTTTTCTCATGGACATCATCACCTAAAACTCGAGATCTGCAGAGATTATGATGAGGACAAGTATTGTCAAGCGTGCGTTCTTCCTATTTATGAAGGGAATTACTATTCATGTGTGGATGGTCACTGTGACTTTATCCTACATGAAACATGTGCCAATGCACCCCGCAAGAAACGGCATCCTTTGCATGCTCACCCACTTACGCTTAAGGTTGTCACTAATGAATATGATAACTACGAAGACAAAGGTTTCTTCAGTTGTTCTGCTTGTCAGCGTTATAGTAATGGATTCGTATACGAGGAGTCGTCCACTGCTGGATTTGGACGTTTCAGGCTAGACGTACGGTGTGCCTCGGTATCTGAACCATTTAACTATGAAGGCCATGAGCATCCTTTATTCCTAGCTTTAAGCCCAGACGAAGAAAAGTGGGCAACATGTCAAATCTGCCATGATAACTCAAGTAATCTATATCGTCGAATGCTAAATTGCATCAAATGTCATTTTATTATATGTTTTAAGTGTGCTACTTTACCATACAAGGCAAGGTATAAACATGACAAGCATTTCCTCACATTCCGGAAAGAGTTGGTGGAAACTAATCAGTTATACTGGTGTGAGGCATGCGAAGAGAAAATAGTATATTCAGGAAAAGGTGGGTTCTATGCGTGCGATGAATACTGCTGCACCACTCTTCATGTTCATTGTTTGCTTGGGGAAAAACCGTATATGAAACATGATCAAATCATATCTTCAAATGGGATGAAGGTTCATATTCTTCGCAACAAAACCATGTCTAGGCCAATTTGCCGTGTCTGCGGACAACGATGTCTAGACAGAGTAGTTCTACAAGTAAAGCATTTTGCAGTTTGTTCTTTCGGTTGTTTGAATGATGGGTAAAAGCCGCTAATAGCTTTGCCATCTTGGTCCGTCACCACCTTTGTTTCAACATGTCTGTTTGGATGTCCACGTTTTGTAATATTTCTTTTCTTCTTTTAGAAGAAAAAAATGTCTTGCTAAAAACGCTTGTAATTTTCATGGTACTTTTTGTTTATTATTTTCTTCAAAACACCAAAACTTTTTAAATTATTATTTTATCGATTAGTAAATTTCTATGTGTCATTACACCAACACATCAAACTCAAATATCTTGAGATATATATTTCACACAAATTTAAAATTAATTAAATTACATTAATATTTTTTTATAACTATAACTATTTAACCAACAATGCTTGGAATAAATAAAAGTATTTATATAACCAATGCATTTTGCAATTGAAAATGAGCTAAAATATGTATCAAGTGCACCGGATACATAAAACATCCTCCTTTTGAAACAAAAATAAAATCTTAAAATAACACTTTTACGAAAACAGAAGGAAAATAACAAGATTTTTATGCTACATGCAGATTCTATTTTATGTTGCTAAAATAAAATATGTAATTACAGATTTTCTACACCCATAATTTTATATTAGTTTTAGACTAGAATATAATTTATATTTGAGTATATACATTATACATAACTATATATGTGTGTATGCAGTGGCGGACCCTGTCTTAAATTTAAGGGGTGTCATTAATTGTGTTCTGGCCCATAATGTAAATAAATATAAGAAAAATCAGTTATAAAACAGCACAAGTTGGAGTCAAACCTCAGTTAGGTGGGTCAGATGAGGGTAATATTAGCCAAATGACCTAAGAAATCTTTTGTACAATTAAGCAAAATAGGAGGTACTTAAATTAAACTTGTATCAGCTGACCCATTATTGACCAACGTGAGTCCGCTTCTGTGTGTATGTGTGTGAACATATTAAATTTAAAATGCATATCAAAATTAAGATGAACTAACAATTAATTATAAGTATGAATTTCACGATAAGTAATGTATTTTTAGATATTCACGATAAGTATGAATTTCATTTAGTAATTAGTGAATTATCATGTGGAGTCAATGATTTTAATTGCATGCAAATATAGAGAAATGTTTTTTTTTTCAAAATATAAGTAGTTTTCAAATATCTAGGCAACTTTTACATTTATTGAATATGGTATGTCCAATCAAATAATACTGACATATTTATGATTGGTTTAATTATACTTAATTTGATATACCAAATGTTACTTTACAAACATAGTAAATTGTTCTTAATATTTGTGCATTCATGTAAAACTACTTATAAAAGGAAACGGAGGGAGTATAAACATATATTGGGGATGATTGGTTGAACTGTAGTTGTAAAAGTTTTACTGTAGAAATTAGTCTGTAGAGTTTTTTTATTTAGCTGTGAGAGATGTAGCTTTAAAATTTATTGTTACAACAACATATTTTCTACAGCAAAAAGATGTGACTTTAGAAAATAATGATTTTACAGCTATTTTTTTTGTTTTTGGTTGTAGCTTTAAAAAATAAGATAAAGCATGATTGGTGATTTAAGTGATGTAGGTAAAAATTAAAGCTAAAGTCAGCACTTACAACCCAACCAATCACCCCCATTATAACATAACTAAAAACTGTATCTTAATCATTGATGATGATATAAAATGTAATAACATCTATGATTATATATTTAATGTGACATGTTCAACTTCTTAATGCATTATTGATATTTTCAAGTTCCAAAAAAATGTATTATAACATTTTCATATTTTTGAGTATAAATATACAAAAAAGCAGCATGATGATTTAAATTAAAAAATATCAATAATACGTATTTATTTTAATTATTGAACAAAAGTCAAAAGTATTGAGGGATCAAAATTTAGTCTCGGTCAACTGAAAATCATAATTCTTAGTATTATATTCCCTTCATTTCAATTTTGTTATCGTTTTAGAAAAAATCATTATTTCTTAAACCATTTAAAGTTTTCAAATATATACTAATTGTTTCAAAAAACGTATTATTGACACTTTAAAGTTACAAAAAATACGTATTATTGACACTAAATGTTACAAAAAAAAAAGAAAGTGTTAACTTCTAAAAAAACAAAAATTTAGTCTCGGTCAACTGGTTAAGTGTATAGATAATTGTATTTCTTAAACCATTTAAAGTTTTCAAATATATACTAAATGTTACAAATATATATATATATATATATAGATATATATAATTAAATGTTTATTTAATTTGTGTGTAAAAGCCCAAAATGACTAATGAATTTAAACGGAGAGAATATTACATATAAAATCTAATAAAAATATTCAAAATAATTATTTTTCACACAAAAAGTTATAAAGTGACTAACTATATTGAGTATTTATTTCTAAAATATGTAACAAATAAAAATTATATAGCTTAAGGAATATAAGTATATTTACATTGATAAAATATAATATATATTTCATAAATATTTATACTTATGAAATTGTATATAAACATTTAGTGTATATTTAATTTTGCATATATTTCTCAAACTTTAAATGGTTTAAGAAATTAAAGCGGAATAAAACAACAAAATAAATAAAAAGTGACAATTTGAAAATTTAGTGCTCTTAGCTAATTAACCGTTTGCTGTGTTTTGTACATAGGAAACATATGAAAGCTTGAATGAGTTACCTTAATCTCTCATATTCTTTTTAAAATGAGATAATTTGCTCTAGCACTGTATTGAGAGTTTATATTTGAGAAATATTTATAATTTGACATAAAGCAAGATTTTACACAATTATGATTTGGTTGGACATTGAAGCCTTTCTGACATTCTCTTTCTTCTCCTCTCTTACATTCTCTTTTCATTTCTTTTATTGTTTTCTTATTATACTTTTTTTTTCTTCAACATTTTTTTCATCCAAATAATTTTTGTTCCTTAAAAACTAATTGACACACAAAACAAAATAATTTTTATTCGCTAAAAACTAATTAACCACGAAACAAAGTATTGATTTGTTTAATTACACCACAGATTGAGAAAATCAACATTTCAATATCTTTAAAATCACTGATTGTTAACAAATGTGTTATCTGTAACAAATAATGTAAATGTTAATAGATGTGTTAGCTGTTAACAAATACATGTATTCGAGGTGTTAGCTGTTAATAAATATTGTAGATCTTAACAGAAGTGTTAGTTGTTAACAAATACATGTAACATATGTGTTAACAGAATGGTTAGCTGCTAATAAAAGTTGTAAATGTTAACAGAAGTGTTAGGTATTTATTTCCTATGTTTTTAAAGAATAATTTTGATTTTTTATATTTACTCATGTATATATATATATATACATTTTTGAATGTGTAAAAAATAAGAATTGATAAAATTGAAGATCCAAAATTACATATGAAATAAAAAATTAAAACTAAAAGTGAATTGAATATAGATTGATAAAGATTTGTATAATATTTAAAAATTTAAGCTACAAACATCATATATATTTCCGGTGAAGAAAAAAAGAGAAAATAGCAAAAAGTAGGAGAGAGGATGAGAAGACTAGCAAATAGGAGGAGAGAGACGAATGGCGTAAAAAAAATTAGAGAGACAATTATGATGCTGGAGCAAATGATCTCTTTTAAAAAAAATTAGAGAGACAATTATGATGCTGGAGCAAATGATCTCTTTTAAAATTGTGTTAACGGCATGTTGGCACGTCATTATGATCACTTTTAACTATCCAATTTATAATCTTGTACTACTAAAGTGCTACAACATACATTGCATTATTTAGTGTATTAAATGGTGTTGGCACGCTGTCATTAACCGCAAAGTTTCACAAAATTTAAAGCCATTAGCCAACTATAAAGTTCGAATTAATTTCAGGTCGTGTCCAGAATATGTGACAACCATTGTGTTAATTAACGGGAAAATCCCATTAAAACCTTTAAAATGATATCCACCGACATTTTAAATTTTGAGGTTTCTTAACTAACAATTTTAATTCAAAAGTAATACTTGTGTCATAAGAAATTCTAATCTGACTAATTTGTCTATCAAGTAAAAATTTGACCTATACAAATGGTAATATTGATGATGTATCAGTTTTTAAAAATAATTTATTTAATTAATAAAAAATTCACAAAACGTGATAATCCAAAATAATAATAAAAATTAATTAAAAATAAAAAATCAGAGAAATTCGAAAATTAAAATTATTTTTTTATAAAAAGAAATAATATATATCTTATTGTAATTAATTTTTTTCTGAATTTACTTTAAATTTATAATTAATAAAATAAAAGTATAAAAATTTCAAAAATTCCAAAAATTAAAATATATAAAAGCATATAAATTAGAAGAAAAAAATAAAACATAAAAATTAGAAATTCAAAATATTTTAAGGATAGTAGTTAAAAAATTTAAGTATAAATAATTTTTTTTACGTATAAAAATCTTGTTCGAAATAACAAAAATTAATGAAGACAATGACAGCTTTCATTCCCACATTTTACTGTTGACGATTTTGGTGTTATGTCGAAACTATCATCGTCGTCTTGAATATAGATATGGGAAATATAACCAAAATATAGCAAAAAAAGGAAAAATCACAAAACCATTAAAATAATAATTTTTGATATTTTACTGTTGTCGGTGATATTTCAGAATTTGAAAACTAACATCGTCACCAATGATATGTCAGAAATCATTATTGGTATGAAATACAAAAAAAAAGAATTTTTTAGTAGTTTGTAGTTTTAGTTTTTTCCTAAACAATCATTTATATATTTTAAGAAATAAGACATATATTTTATTTATTTGAATTAAAAAATATTTTGAATTTTGGAATTTCTCTTATTTTTGAATTTTAATTAGTTTGATTTATTTGAGTTTTTTATTTATTTTAATTTTATTAATTAAATAATTATTTTTTAAAAAACCAACATTAATACCATTAGTACTGGTCATACTTTTATTTAATGGACAAGTAAGTTTGAATAGAGGTAGTATTTTATGCTACAAATGTT